GTTCATTCTTCATACATTCAAATATACAGTATACACTAAGAGACTTTTTACACTGAGTACCTGTTCAAGACACTGAAGCCAACTGCAGTCTGGTTAATGTGCATACATTACAGTTCAAAAGTCTCTTAAACATACTCATAATCAAAAATACAATTAAAAAAAAAACAGGATTTATTTGAAACTGAAATATTTTGCAACATTATAAATGTCTTTACTCTTAGTGTCACTTTTTATCAATTTCTTGCATCCTTGCTGAAAAAAAAAATTGAAAAAAAAGAGATTATTACTGACCCTAAACTTGTGAATAGTATTGTACATGCTCGACAAAGCTGAGCTTCAATCACATTATCAAGGTCCTAATAAAAAAAAAAAAGCTGAATGTTAACATTTCAGTCAAGATAAAGAGTGTAAAGTCATCATGAAACCAAAGTTGTGATAGATTTCACAACCATATTGTGATGTACTTTCAAGTGAAACAGCTTTCAAAATAAAAATTAAAAAAATTGTAGGGTGGTTACAATGTACAATTGCACAAAAGGCTGCAAACGAACAGCGCGCATCTGAAGTGTCTCTGAAGGAAATAATGCATTATTTATCGGCTTTAAGATATCGGCCAAATTTTCTTATCAGGCCGATACCGATAACAGAAAAAATGAGCCGATATGGGCCGATACCGATATGGTGGCCGATATATCGTGCATCCCTAGTGGTGCTTGATTTTAGCTATCGTTTGATGATTGGACGACAGCCAATTAACAGGAAGAGTCATTTCACAGGAAGAGCATGTTTTTATGAATTTTGATTAAATATTACAAGGTCAAACAAAAAAAGTATTTTTTTAATACACTAATTTTTTTACAAAGACAAGTAGCATGCATTAAAGAAAGCAAGGTTGATTTTAATTTTGGTTTGAAAAAAAGTTTAGACTGACTGAAATCAAACTTTTCAAAGAACATGTGGACATACTTATAGTATCACTCACTCACAAACAGTTCTGGTTATTTTTTCAGTTCCTGTGTTGCTAGATTCAGCAGGAAACGGTTCAGGTGATATGACAGAGGGTCATTTCATATAAGCCTGTCAGGACTCATTTTGTTACCCTAGTGACATGTCTGTTTATGGCTGTCAGAGTTTCAACACCCTTCTGCCATATTCCTACCAACACTGAAGATTCTCTCCTCCAGACCGTGATGGGCCTTGAATTAAATAACAAAATGACTTGTTGCATTGCGAAAAGAGGAGAACCACAAGTTAAATTCTCACATGAAGGTAGATTAACAAAATACTTCTGTGCACACACGCACACAAATTCAGAGATCTCCTACTGATCAGGCCTCCCTGCTGTGGTCAGAGACTTGATGCAGGCTCTGTGTTTCTTTCTGATGTTACAGCAAAGAAAGAGGGATGAGAGATGAGGGGGAGGTGGGGGACATGAGGAGCAGAAAGCTGAGAGAAAAGATGTAGGGTTTCTTAACATGACCTCAACTGTTAACCTGAAGTCTTACCAGAAAAAAAAAAAAGAAGATATTTTTATCTTTTTCTGCCCCTGGTTCGTCAGCCTCTGCTTTATTTTCTCTTTTAAAAAAAAAAAGTACAAAAAATGGACCTTTGCTAGTCAATGGGGCAGTAGAATCTTTGTACCTTATCTACCCACAAAGGTGTATGTACCCATATAAGATACTAATATGCACCATTTGAGGGTACTGCCCCAGTGCCAACTAGGTACAGCTATTGTACATTTTTTTCTGACTTTGAATTTTCATGCCATTTCAAGCAGTGACAGCAATATCCTTTACGGTTTAACATGCTAAAGCTAAACTATATGTTATAAATAAATACAAATGCATTTTAGGACCTTATTTGTGCTTAATTATTTTAAAATACCTCAAATTATTTAAGGGAACTGCAAAAAAAACAAAGGTGATTCAAAATTATGGGGGGGAAAAATGGCGACCACAGGTAGTCTGTGGGTTAAAGCGATTCCCGACAATGGGTAAAACCATGGAAAAAACACGACTGGGCTAGTTTTGCATAGCAATTGGACTATTTTTGTTTCACAAACCTGGCAACCCTGCAAAAGATGGATATATATTTATTTTGAAAATTTCTTGCACAAAATAAACTGTCTGAAATACAAAAAATCCGATATCAGCCAATAGCCTATTGAAAGCACAGCAATATTGGTAAAATAAATAAATATTATCAATAAAATTCAAAAATATACCAAATATACCAATATATTGGGCATCCTAAAAAGAAAAAGATTAGTGCAATATAATTAGTGCTGTCAAATGATTAATCGCGATTAATCGCATCCAAAATAAAAGTTTTTGTTTACATAATATATGTATGTGTACTGTATATTTATTATTTATATAGATACACACACATACAGTATACATTTTGAAAATATTTACATGTTATACATTTATATTCTTGTATTTTATATATATATATATATATATATATATATAAATATATTTAATATATAAACTTAACATTTTTCTTAAATATAGCCTATACATGCATGTGTTGGTATTTACATATACATAATAAATACACAGTGTACACAGGCTATATTATGTAAACAAAAACTTTTATTTTGGATGCGATTAATCGTTTGACAGCACTAAATATAATATATGCAAATAAACAGAAAACCAGTAACTAGTAGTAAAATTGGATAGATTCTTTATTGGCATATATGGTTCTAGAAAGAACATTTAACATCCTCGGAACCTATCCAATGCACAAATGTTTCTTTATAGTGGAAAAATGTTCCTTTAATTATTCAAACGTTCTTGACACTAAGAAAAAAAAAGAGCTGTTTATTGAAAGGTTCTCTGCAGAACCCAAAATGATTCTTGTATGGAATGAACCATGGAGTGTAGGAACGTGATGTAAAGAAATGGCGGCATAGTTACATTTTGAACATTTTAAATCATTACATTTCCCCGCTGCACAAGGACAAGCACACATGCTGTTCATCCCCCTGCCCAGCTCACTCAAGACCACACCATTAATCCAGACTCTGATTGGTAAGTAATTCTGCAGAGCTCCATTATGTCCCAGCTGCTGAGCCCACTCCTGTGAGGACAGCATGTTCACCAGCTCTCTAGCGATATGACCTAAGGCCTGGACACGGTGATTTGCCCCCACCATAACCCAGCGGCACAAAATCTATCCCAACACCCTATCAGATATTTAAAACCAGCTAATCCTCCTGCACCTTCAGTATACATCTACATGAAAACCTTTGAAATCATACTGTTACAAGAAGCAGCTGAGCTTTCTCACAGTCATGTTTCCTTATCTGCTGCATGCAATACATTCAGTGTCTGGAGAATGATCAGTGAGCCCTGATGTTTGACCTCTGACCCCAAGGCTGGTTATCTTTGCCACCACACATGTCCCGTCCCATCTATATTACATTTTCACAACCATAATTAACACCACTGAGCTTTAACATACGCCTTCTATGAGAAGAAATAAAGAGTGTGTGCCTTAATAAATATTTACTTGTACGGAATTACATTTTAAGGTGTTGAAAATACTGCCCTACAAAAGTTCCTTGTACAGTGTCCGGTAAAGATGAATCAGAGGGTTGTGCTTATGCTTTTTTGTGAGGAGCAATGGCAATGTAATTGTTACTGAACACACACACAATTAAATGTTATTTTGTGCTAAATGACAAATGCACTGTAAAAATAAAAAAAAAAGTGAAAAAAAAAGTTTACAGTGCATTTGTCATTCAGCACAGAAATAACACAATTTGAGGATGACAAAATGTGGTGTAGCCAAATAGACAAATCCAGACATTTCAGAAATTAACATAAAAAAGGAATTAAATTAATTAGGATACATACGCCTTCTATGAGAAGAAATAAAGAGTGTGTGCCTTAATAAATATTTACTTGTACGGAATTACATTTTAAGGTGTTGAAAATACTGCCCTACAAAAGTTCCTTGTACAGTGTCCGGTAAAGATGAATCAGAGGGTTGTGCTTATGCTTCTTTGTGAGGAGCAATGGCAATGTAATTGTTACTGAACACACACACAATTAAATGTTATTTTGTGCTAAATGACAAATGCACTGTAAAAAAAAAAATTTAAAAAAAGTGAAAAAAAAAGTTTACAGTGCATTTGTCATTCAGCACAGAAATAACACAATTTGAGGATGACAAAATGTGGTGTAGCCAAATAGACAAATCCAGACATTTCAGAAATTAACATAAAAAAGGAATTAAATTAATTAGGGTAATCTCCCAAATTTTAGAAGTTCTTTCTGAGTTTTAAAATATAAAAATAAAGCATGCCATGCGCTTGAAATGCAATGCAAGAAGCAGCAGGGTATAACAACAAACACATTAACAACATGGGCAACATGTCAGTTATAGGCTACAAAATGTATATTTACATAAAGCAAGAAAACTAGATGAATTAAAGATGCAAAGCCATTTCTAGAGTGTGTACTGTGGCCAGACACTGTGGAAAAGACGTGCTCTTATGATTTAATGAACAGAATTATTCCTGTCTGAAAATCTAACAAGGATGCATTAATCAATACTAGCCAGAAACTAACAGCCTGTTGAAACACTTTCACACAGAACATCAACAGGCATAAGTGAGGTGCAAATGAATGTGCCTGATCGTCTCTAAGCATTTGGCTTCATTCTGCTGCATTATAAGAGGCAATTCATCAACCACTCAGCCTTTCATAGGTGAGCTACCTGAGCCCAAGCAATAAAGCAGCTTCAAAGAGTCCCTCTGCCCCCCCGAATTATTTATAGGCTACTTAATTTCGCATTTGGTGAATATTGTACCGCTGGCTCTCTATGATGAGCTGGAGAATTTAATTAGAAGACTAAGAATGAGCCGCGCGTGATGTGATCGCTGACTCGGCAGTTGCTGGGGGGTCACAAACGGCGCGTAATATCAGCCCTCTGTTCAGGGAAAACTCACAAAAATACATTATCGCTCAACAATAAAGACAACTTACCGAGAATCCAGCCCAAAAGGGACACGAATGTCTCACCCTCGGAGATGTAGTGAGGGCCAAAGCGGCGAAACTGACAGCCAAAATCAGACTCCCGAGCACCATCTGTGAAACTCCCAGAGAAAGCATGATGCGAGTCCGGGTTCGAAACTCCCTCAGCCGCGAGAGGCTGCGGGACAGAGACACCGGGCTCAGAGACCGACCCCTCGGCATTGCGCTGACGGGCATGGTCACGACTAAACTGTTTAAACGAAACCAAAACTTGAGTTAAATCAGTGGGCTTCGGGTTTACAGGACACCTCTGGGTTCAGTCGCTCAGACATACACAACGTAAAGACGAACTCATAGCGTGTTGCCGTTACACGAGGAACCTCACGATGTGCTGCTCTCAGTGTAAGTGCGCGGTTTTCAAGCAGGTGTTTCAGCTAGCGTTATCCAAAATCATTTCAGAAGGACAATGAGGTAAGCTCTGCGTAAACGCGCGCTGTATGGTCGGTCGCCAGCTTCGAGGAAACTCACGGGATAGGTGATCCATCAAATCCGTTCACAGCCGTGACAGTCCGTTAATGAAATCTCTCACGGCTCTGAGCAGAGCACGTCTAAATAATAAAGCTCGTATTCAGAGGGACGAACTTCACATCGATCGCGCGAATGTGACGCGGTTTGAGGTTCCACGACGCGTTCACAACGTTCGGCTCCAGTGTAATAAGGTTCGTTCGAATCTTGAACAGCAGCAGCAGCAGCAGCAGCAGCCTCGCGCTAGCAGTCTGTCAGTTAGATGTGTGAGCAGGTGCTTGGGTACGATCGCGCGAATGTGACGCGGTTTGAGGTTCCACGACGCGTTCACAACGTTCGGCTCCAGTGTAATAAGGTTCGTTCGAATCTTGAACAGCAGCAGCAGCAGCAGCAGCAGCAGCCTCGCGCTAGCAGTCTGTCAGTTAGATGTGTGAGCAGGTGCTTGGGTAGAGCACGAGATGGACTGACGTGCCGCCATATGTAGATTCAGATAGATGAATGCGGGCAATGAACTCATTCGTGGAGCCATAAAAGCCAGAGTCCGTGAATGGATATAATGAGCCTACTCAATCTGACTTATTATTCATATTGTTACTTTTCATTAAACTGGCTTTAAGACTGAGCCTTTGCGTTCGGTTAATATGTCATTTAAGCAATGTCACAAGAGAAAGAGTGCTGCTGTACTGAATATTAGCAAGGCTCTTATCAGAAATGTTGTGATGCTGGTTTTATAAAATTGGTAATTAGCATCCGGCAACCTTCGTTTCAGACCAAAATTGGCTAATTTAGTAGGGATATTATTGTCTAGAATAGTCCACGCTTCATGTCACCAAGCAACGCACACAATGAAAGCAGGTCTGGAGCCAAGTATGGATGGAACGGAGCGACTGAGATCCTCCCTTTTCCTAAATCAAGGCGTTCTGTTTTGATTCCGCTGAAATGCCATTCCAGATTTTCATTTTCACTCCTCTAAGCTAGAGAGAGAACCCCGTTCAGAGCTATCTGGAGCGATAAAAAATGCCAACCATTTAACTTTTAAAAACGCGCTCCTCGCTGTAATAACATCGCTTCGATTTGTTAGATAAAATCATTTTTCGACAGGGAAAAAAGCTTTTCACCGACCTACTCCTTCTTAAACACGGAGAAGCGAAGCGATACGAACACTGAAACGACCGTCTCTGTTCGTGCCCACTGATCTGCCAATCAAATGTTTGTTTTCGGGCAATCAGATTGGCATGAAAAGTTGTATGACATTTAAATGTACTGAACTTATATAATTCCATCAGCAACATTTATGACCAAAATATACTTCTGAGTATTTATTAAAAAAATAATGCAGGCTAATTTAAACGAGCTCTCTATACATTGAAATACAGACTGTATTGATTTAATGTGAACACGGTTGAAGAAAACAGTCTGTTTTCGAACCCGTTTAATTCCAGTTTGCCCTTCTGAAAGATCGTCTATGCCTTGAAAGGAAGGATGTTAAACATGTCATAATTTACGCAGACACAGCTAACATTACCATATTTGGTTCACGTAATATTTACAAGGTCTATAGTTAATGTATTAAGATAGCTATGTCTCACATAAATCATTACATATACAAACAGCAGTCAGTCACAGAGAACCCAGAGCCCCATTTTTAATAATTGACTTATAAGCTATAAAATTGTAGCTTTCGAGGAATATATCACACCTCATGAAACAAAAGTTCGAAGAGTACTACATTTATCATTCTCTTTCCCCCACAATTGCCTCATCGTAAAATAACACTTTGAAACTGTCTATAGTTAAGCAGTTCTGACTGTAATGAAACACTTCACTAACTTTTTATTATATCTTGAAACTAGGCACGCAGTTTCATTTGGGTATTCAACGAATAGATGTGACCACTTAGCTGGGCCTGGTTTAACCAATCGATTAAAGCTACGGTCTCATTACAATCAGTTTTATAATCGCCAAACGCAATGAACATTCTGAAGGAGTGTGCACAATAAAGCACTTGCGCCACCTGCAGGCCACAGAGTGTCACTACTCATTATACTGCAGTGTGCTGTCGCAATGAGGCACAATTTCAAAGTCACCTTGCTCCTATATTGCGGGACACTGTAATCTTTATGCAAATGCTTTTTGTACTGCAGCTACAACTGCAAAAATCTACAATAAAATAACACCGTGTATTTTAAAAATGATTTTATTTTTAATACAGTGGCATACTGGAAATTGTGTTGAAAAGGGAACAAACTCTGCCACACGTGAATAGCTAATGACCAGTCAAAGCTGTGTTATATTGTCTAAAGAAAAGAAAAAAAGTCTTCCGGTGTGCCATAATAAATCGTCTATTAGTACAAAAATACATTTCAGGACACCCAATATAGCATCCAGTATCACAAATAAATGCGTGGGACACATTTCAAGCACACAGTTGAAAAGAAACAGGTTTTGAGAATAGTTTACATCAAGCACTTTCATTTGTAAATAAAGAATAAAAAGAAGGTTATCATTAAAAACGCTTATATTTAGTGTGTATCTGTAGAAAATGTGATATTACTGCTAAGTACACGTTCCAAGGCTCAAAGCTAGAACCAGAATACAAAGACGATCGTTTTAATTTCATTCATCCTCTTTTATAAATGTTTCCCCCTTAAGTTTTATACAAAATAAAGACATACAAAAAAAGTCATTTACAAACCAATAATGAAGGCAATATGCTAGCTTTATGTACAGCCAATTGATCTCCTTCCATCTTTTATTTGTGTTTCTCTTCAAAGGTCATGTGCATAGCAGATAAAAAGAGAAAACCTGTTCTTATCCTTTACACTGTTACGCTTGTGTGCAACACCCAGGTTTATTTGTACAGCGGGTTGACAAAAATGGCAGAAAGACAACTTCAGTTTCTTCATAATTTATCATTACAACAACTTAGCAAAAAGAAACCACAAAGGTTTTTGTTATTGAAAAAAGTGTCGTTTCAGATAAGGCATCACTGCTTTAGATGGAGTGAGTGAGAGAGAGAGAGAGAGTGAGGAAGAATCTGGGAGAGATAGAGGGGAAAGGAGAGAGCAGCGTTCTTCACACCTGAGTCAAAGCACGTGCATAGATCTCGACACTGCAGGAATGTTCCAGTGCTCAAGTTCACAGGTCTGTGAGGAGGCTAGTGGTGTCTACAAAGGAGCTATTTAAAAAAGGTGAGCCTTACATGACACGTCCTTGGCTAGAAAACTTCATCCTGTATTATTCTTAAGATGCCGAGATTCCCTCTGACACTTACGCACGCAACTAGCACTGATCCTGCACCTTGACATGATAAAAGTCAGGAAATGTGTCAGATGTACACTTCAACTGCTCGATTGAAAAGCCTAGAACTGGAATTCGATATTCTAGAAAAGTTGCACTATACATGAGAATCATAATATTATAGTGTGCATACTACATGAAGTTCAAATACACTTGCAGATTAATATAGTCTAAATGTTTAAGTAGCCTAGACTGAATGGAAGAACCTAATAAAATCCTTTAAAAAATAGACAACACAACTTAATGTGTCGCAGGATATTACAGTTGGCTTACAGTGCGAGTATTAGTTGATCAGTGGCACAGAGCATGTAGTCCATCGATGGTTAATGTCCGTTTTTGTTATCCTCGAAAGCCTTTAAAAGCACTTTAAAAAAAAAAAAAAAGAAGAGGAGGAAAATGATGAGGAGATTAAAACAGCACTTCATTGAATGTAACCCTCCCTCCAGTCTCAGAGGTTACCGTAAACAAAGCCAGAGCACAGTCAGGAGACCCTTCATTTAGTGTCACGTAGCGCCTTCATCTTGTGGAAGTGTGAGTGTGTGTGTGTTTATAAGGGGAAGGTCCTCTCTCCTTTAATCTGGTTCCACATTCACTAACGGGACCTGCTGTTGCCCTCCTCAGAAATGGTCAATAAGCACAGACACACAGTTGGCTCCAACCAGGTAGTTAGGATCCCCAGGGAGAGATTTGTTCTGCCAACTCTTAGGATCACCTGGATATACAGAGAAAATGTAGATGAATATGATGGACGAATGGAGAGAAAGATAAACCACAAAAACATTTGGATTATTTTTTTTTTGTAAGAAATTAATCCTTTTATTCAGCAAGAATGCATTAAATTGATCAAATGTGAATAATTTTTTTTTTATGTATAAAAGTTTCAACAAAAATATTACACAGAATAACTCTTTTTATCTTTGATAATAATAATAAATGTTCCTTAAGCACCAAATCAGCATATTAGAATGATTTCTGAAGGATCATGTGACACTGAGGACTACAAGTGCATCTCATTAAATTAGAATGTCGTGGAAAAGTTCATTTATTTCAGTAATTCAACTCAAATTGTGAAACTTGTGTATTAAATAAATTCAATGCACACAGACTGAAGTAGTTTAAGTCTTTGGTTAAATGAACTTTTCCACGACAATCTAATTTATTGAGATGCACCTGTACACTTTAAAATATATTAAAACAGAAAAGTTATTTTAAATTGTAATAATATTTCACAATAATACTGTTTTTACATTATTTTGATCAAATAAATGCAGCCTTGGTGAGCATATGAGGCTTCTTTCAAAAACACTTAGTGACCCCAAACTTTTGAACAGTAGTGCATTATATGCTAGGTACGTGCATAAATGGCAGCCAAATGTATTAATTAAAAGTTGAAAAGGGCTGCATGCATGCTTGCTTTCTAGTCAGATCCACTACACTAAAGTAAAAAAAACACTACCATAAATTTAACATAAAACAAAACACACATTTGGAGAAACATCATCTTCAAAAAAAAAAAAAAAAAAAAAAAAAAAATGTATACCATATTTCAACAGCTGTAACAGCATCATATTGTGCTATTATTTTAGCCCTTGGTTTGCATGAGGAAAAGAGAGGAGCGTAGCAGGACGCTTAGCGATAAGACAGGCTCTCAGCATGCGTTATTTGTTCTGACAGAGATAATCAACAGAGCCAAAGCAAGAACCAATAACTCATAGCCTAAGGTGCTGTAATGCATAAGAACAAAGTTGTTTTTCCATTCATCAAGGTGAAGTACGTCATTTCGGCACCACCAGCGGCACTAAACAGAAGTTTAAAAAAAGGTTGGTTGTCAAACACTAACAAACACATTATAGTTCTGTGTGATTTTGTGGTACAGAAATTACACACTTTATTCGTAAGAATTAAAATAATGGTTACACTACAGTTGCACATATACTTAGATGTTTTGTAGTGCATTTATAAATCTATAAGGACCCGAGGATTTCAGTGCCCTTTTATACTCCACCGTGAGCTCCATCAGAACAACATCTTTGTTAAATCAGTTAGGTAAACGCTCTCTTTCCAGGAAAGTGCAGGGAAATTTGCCTTGAGCTACGGATAAACAATAGCCTTGTTTTAAAATATGCAGATTAGAGGCAAAGGCCTGTAATGGTTTTGGATGAGGCAGGATTCTCCCATCTCTCCACTGCACAATCAGAACGAGAGGTTCATTAGGAGGCTAATTCAGGGCAGTGCCAGGTTTACCAATAAGAGTTATATAGAGACGAATGAGAGGAAGGAAAGAGAGAGAGAGAGAGAGAGAGAGAGAGAGAGAGAGAAATTAAGAACTGGAGAAAAACATTTGCTGTTCTCCAATAGCGGGACAAAGGCAATTCCAGCATCTCTGCATATTTAGACATTTGGGTGGCTGTGTGAGAATCAGTTTAAAGTACAAACAATGTGAGTGAATTATGATTAATAGATGTGAATTCCCATTCATGAAACCCAAGTGAAGATGGAAAACTTATTTTTTAGTAATGTTCATCTGTGATTACTCAACTAATTTCAAGGGAGAAATTGAGTGATTCAGTGACCGATCGAGAGAACACAAAGGCCTAAAACATAAATCTACCCAGTGAAAACAGCTTTAGATTTATTCAAACAGACCACAATGTGAAATTTGTTGGGCCCTGCAAAAATACAAACCATCTGCCAAAACAATTTTACTTTCTTTAATGCAAAATGTCCATTCATTACACTGGAAATTACAATGGATATTTATTTTTTAATATGTAGTTTTTTTAAAAATTGTGTATTTATTCCCTTATATACACAATACAATATACAACAATACCATTAAAAAGTTTAGGATCAATTTAAAATAATCGTCTTCAATTTTTAAATATCTTAAAATATAATTTAAAAATGTAATTTATTCCTGTGATAGCAAAGCTTTATTTCCGGCAGCCATTACTCCAGTCTTTAGTGTCACATGATCCTTCAGAAATAGAAAGTTGATCAATAGAAAGTTCAAAAGAACAGCATTTATATGAAATAGAAATCTTTTGTAATATAAATGTCTTCACTGTCACTTTTGCTCAATTTAATGCATCCTTGCTAAACAAAAAAAACATCTTATTGACCCCACATTTTTAAATGGTAGGAGAACAGTTTTATTGTGCTTTAAGAGTGAATTGTCACAAATGAAAATGAATTTGATTGTCGAGCTAAAATTGATACTTGGTTTAAACATACCTTAAATAAACCACATAAACACATGAGCAGACTGGAGTGAGTGAGTCAGTGAGATAAGATATATGAGTGGAAAATAAAAAATAAGTAAACAAAAAATTAGTGATATGGAGTTGTGAAAATAAGAAAATGTATAATGAAAAAAGGCCCACAACCAAACAAGATGTCACAAAGCCATCCCAAACGACCCCAAAAAGGACAGAGAGAGGACAGCGTACCCGACGAGGAGTCGGAGGATTTTAGAGCAAAAGACCAACCATCAGGGGTCATAGACGCACAGTGAGGTAAGCGGAGCTCCACTGGCTTCAGGAACTTCAGGCCGTGGGGACCACACATCACCAGAGGACTCAGCAGAGTTTCACCTGGAAACAAAAAACACTTTCCTTTAGCATTTACTCCCATCAAGCTATTAATTTAGTACTGATAATCTCACTTGAATTAACTGAAAAAAGGGTGGGGGGGTTGGGGGCTGTAACAAACTAGAATCAGTATCAAACTCTGTATTACCAAGCTTTTTCCACAGACCAGAGGAGAAAGACAAAAATGCCAGAATCTTCTGACCCTCGAGTTAAAAGATGCGTGACTGACCTTTCTCTTTGTCCAGAGGTGGCAGGATGCTGTTATCCCGACACACTTTGAAGTAGATCTCTTGCTCCACACTGTCAGGAATGGCTCCCTGAGGGATAATGATGCTCACTCCCGTCTCAATAGAGCTCAGGACCCCGCCGTTACTGTTGAAGATGCCCCGTGCCGTCGCCACCACCGTGTGGCTGTCATCATCATCGTCATCCTCCAAAGCACTCGGGCTGGAAAAAGAAAGAAAAACAGATCAACCTTATTTTTAGTCTGATTTTCAATTTCAGATTTTCTTTAGTGTTAAAGGGGTCATATGATGCGATTTCAATTTTTCCTTTCTCTTTGGAGTGTTACAAGCTCTTGGTGCATAAAGAAGATCTGTAAAGTTGCAAAGACTAAAGTCTCAAATCCAAAGAGATATTCTTTATAAAAGTTAAGAGTCAGCCACACCTACCTAAAACGGCTCGTTCTAACACGCCCCCACATATCTACCTCACTATGTGGGAAGATTTGCATAATGCCGCCCAAATGTTCACGCAAAGAAAGAATGCGCAACTTTTATTCTCGCTGTAGTATTGTTGTTGCCGCCACCATGTCGTAAAGGCGCTGTGTGTTTCGTTGTGAAAGCAAAACTACTTTGTTTGGCCTTCCAAAAATGGACACGACTAGAAATCAGTGGTTAAGTTGTATTTACAACACTGTTCCAGAACACTTCAACCCAAATATTCAGATGTGTGCAGCACATTTTATGGAGGCCTGTTTCCTGATACTGGTAGAGTAGACTACAATGCCGGCTGTTCTGACTCAAAAACTGCAAGTACGTTTTTTTATATTTAAAGTGTTTTTATATTTTATATATTTAAAGCGAGTTTTTTGGGCAGTGTAGAGTAGCACTTGTTGTTTGTCATTTCTCCGATCACAAATGCAGACATGGTTTTATGTTTACGCGGCGTGATGCAACGCAACGCGTAAAAAGACAGTATAAGTCATTATAATCCATAATTATGTCCCCACTGGATGCAACGAATGCCTCGTTTATAATGGGTTTTAATGTTTTTGAATCATCACTGCGGCCTGACAAGGCATCATCACAGACTGGTAAGGGCGTAACATTTCCGTCACACGCTTGAGGTATTCGGCCAATCATAACGCACTGGATAGCTGGCCAATCACAGCACACCTCGCTTTTCAGACCGATGAGCTTTGTAAAAATTGATGTGTTTCAGGAAGGTGGGGCATAGAGGAGAAACAATAATGTACAGTATGTGGAAAATAATGTGTTTTTTTAACCTTAAACCGCATAAACACATTTCATTACACCAAATACACAAAATAATGTTCTTTTTAGAAACATCATATGACCCCTTTAAAAAAAAAGAAAAGAAAAATCTAGCTATAGCAGAAATGTAATATCAGTATACAAATATCTAGTTCTACTGATTGTGATAAACTGCTTTATTTAGTTGGCTACTATCCTAAATGTATTTAATATTCAATATTTATTTTAAAAAAAGTTAAACATATTTTGAAAGAAAAAAAAACTACAGTACAGATAAAATGTCTACTTACCAAAAAAAACAACATGTAAGCATGACAATTACAAAGCTAGTTTTTAATATACCTGACAGGTATTGCCTTGGGTACAGCGTTGATGTTGTTTTGCTGGTATTTGGGTTTCTGGTCCATGGTGCGGGTGAAGGTGTCCAGGCCGCTGTCGTGGTCTATCGGCTGGGGCGAGCTCTGTGGTTTGGTTGTGGTACTGATGGGAGCTTTCACATTATCCGTCTTATTTTGAGAGTCATTAGGCAGAAGGTTGTGGTTGAACTTGGGGCTGTCAAACTTGCGCTCGAAGGGTCTTGCAGAGGTTGTGTATGGCTTGGGCACAAACCGGTTGTAGCTGGACGTGGTAGTGCGGTTGGTCTTTGGAGGTTCGCCGGTGCCGTTAACAGGAGATTTGTCTGGGAAGCTTTTCTGAGGCAGGTAAGTGCTCTGGACTGTGTCTTCATGATTGGGAGGCTTCACTTTGGGAGATCCATGTGGGTCGAGAGGTGGAGTGACTGTGTGAGAGAGTATGTGAAAAAATGTGTACACAAATGTGTGGAAGTTTCTTTACAGATAGAAAATAAGAGTTCAGATTTGTTTTAGTCGTTATATTCATCTCTTGAGGACTATTTAGTCAATATTTCATTTAAAATCATTTCTATTTTAAAAATGTAATTTATTCCATTACTCCAGTCTTCAGTCTCCTTCAGAAATCTCTATAATATGCTGATTTGTTGCTCAAGAAACTATTCTTATTTTCATCCATGTTGAAAACAGTTGTGCTGCTTAATATTTTTTGTGGAAACAAGTATGTATTATGCTGTAGGAAGGAGCATATTCAATCATTTCTCCATTAATCACGTACCTGCAGGTTTGGGCAGGGTTGGGGGTGGGACAGCTGGGTTAGCTGGAGCAACAGGGTTGATCTTCTCCACTGACTCTGCCCTGTAGTAGACAGCAGACAAAGTCGTCAAGATTCAAACTAAAAGCCATATATTCTGCCATCATATTTACTGCCATCTAAATTTATATTACAATTCCAAACAAGAAAAAAAAGTCTTAATTTAATAAAACATGACCCTTTACCTAAATGCAAATATACACATTTGACTAAATCCTAGTAAAACAAAAAAAATAAAGCAGAGTTGCATTAAGAAAGATTAAGTATTTGAACATGTACCTGGGGTAGTACCCTGGTTGGGTCTGGGGTTGGGTTGGCTTAATGGCAGGTGCCAGCTGTGCAGAGGGTTTGCTGTCAAAGCTTCGTCGGTCAAAGTAAGACAGCTGTTTCCTGTAGTACTCCTCATCCTCATCAGGGTCATTGTTATTTGAACGAATGATATCATCTGTTGCTTTAGGCTGGGGCTGCTGTGGCTCTGGAGATCTGACAGAGGAAAGACGTATGTGTACCTTAAAATGCTTTATGTATAGAATACTGTTGAGGTAATGGCAACCACTAGGAGATCTAGGACTAACTTCATTACTATGGCTAATGCCACAGGGGTCAGTAAGATTTTTTTTTGTAATGTTTTTGCACAAAAAAAAGTCTGTTATGCTCTGCAAGGCTAAATTTATTTGAGAAAAAATACAGTAAAATCAGTAATAATTAAAAATAATGTAAAATATATTTTCATATATTTTAAAATGTAATTTATTCCTGTAAATGGCAAAACTGAATTTTCAGCCATTTTTAAATAGAAATCTTTTGCAACATTACAAATGTATTTAGTCACTTTTGATTATACTGATGCATCCTTGCTGAATAAATTCAAATTAATATATAAAAAAAACAAAAACAAATCCTTACACTTCTGAACGGTAGAGAATTTTGTGGGTAAAAAAAAATGCTTTCTTTTTATAGATACAAATACTCTGTGCGCTAATAGCTGGAGATTTGATTTATACTTTATGTGCTAGTTCATTACCTAAAGGCCTTCTCTTGGTCCAGGTTACTTAAAGAATTGGCTTTGGGCATGGAGGCAGCACCAGGTTTATGCACCATGTCCACAGGCTAAAGGAAGCAGAAAGATTAACATTAATTAACATTAATAATTCAGCCTGTAGAGTGTATATTTAGTTATTAGAAATACAGACTGTCAACGCACCCTAATACCAGTGTCTGCGGACTCTCTTGCTCTGTCCACAGACACGGATCGCTTGTTCTCAAACATTTTAACCCTTGTGAGCACGGACTGGGGCTTCATGGCTGGGTCATCCTCTGCCTCAGCTGGAGGAGGAGGAAGTGCAGGTTCCACTGGCGGTGAAATGGACTCAGGTTTAGGAGGGGTCACAGAGGCCTCAGAGTTCATGTAGCCCCTCTGTGGAGGTTGAGTATAGGAAGGCCTCTGGGACGGGTCATAGTACTGTTGTTTGGGGGGTTCAGGGGAGCGAGAAGAGGCTTGAGTACGAGGGAGTGCTTCCTGGTCATACTGCAGGCGCGCAGGGGGCGGTTCATCATGTCGGATCGGTCCGGGGCTGGGTTTGCCATAGCGAGGTCGACTGGAGTCATAGCCTGTGTCATGTTGCATCTGAGGGTGACCGTATATGCGGTTCAGACCATCCTCATAGGGCATATGAGGGTCGTATTCAGAGGTTTGGTCATACGGGGCCCACTGCTCATCGTACGGAGGCACGCTGCTGTCAAAATGTAGGTGGGGGTCAAAATTACGAGCCTTTGGTTCCATGTAGCCCCCATCGTAGCGGTAGGGCTGGTGGTCGTAATCTCTGTATGGCTTGTCTTCCTGGTAGAGGGGCTGCTGGGGGTTGTAGTTGGGCTGCATAGGGTTCTGGTTCACCAGCACCGGCTCGTTGTTACGATAGATATCCTTCTTGTACATCTGTTGATAAAGCCAAAGAAGGATACTTATAAACGACTTGTGCAAAGAATCATATATAATCTCTAAACCACAGCAATCAATTGAATTGTATAAAACGGCAGAAACCAGAAGTGATTAATATTCGGATTAAAAGTTGAAGAATGAAGCACAGAGTCAGCAGAGAGACCTGCAATAGAGGAAGACTCAGAGTGGGCAGTTATTGAACAGGTCAAAATGGAGGCAGCCATCACACAAATAGTTTCAGAGTTTAAGAGCGATTAAATGATTCATGACACGCCAAGCTTCAAAAACACTGGGGTAAAATCAGAGAAAAATCCCACTGAAAAAGAAATATACAAAAACCATTTGCTTTAAACAAAAAAAAGTATTTTGAGACGTAGCCTTTTAGGAACAATAACAGTCTAGTCTGTTAGATGTTGAAGCCAGCATTAATTAGTTAAATGTCCGTGATAATGAGGAAATAAACATGGTCACAATTGAACTAAAATGAAAATGATTTATAATAAAATGTGGCCAAAAAATTTTGCACTTTCTTGTCAATTAAATGTTTTGTCAACTAAAATTAGATAGCCCTTTTAATCAGAGCAAAACTGACAAATGAAATATAAAAATTTTAATTTAAAGATCGCTTTTGTCAGAAAAAGTATGAATAAAAACAGTAAAAATGGAAACTGGTTAAGTCGTACTCATATGTTGTAAACAACAAGGCTACCTTTCAAAGTTGTAACAGGAGGGGGAAAAGATTAAAAGTTGTAAACATAAGTCAAAATAATTTTAAAATCATTTCATCACACTCATTGCACCACTTATATTCACTAGCTCTACTTCAACAAGCAAAAACAGAAAATTAAACCCATGCAAGAGTAGGCAAGCAACAGTGGGGACCTGGGCTTGCCTGAAGCTACATGAACTATGATCTGATGCAGCAGGCCTCTGTCGTACCCACTGTTGTCTATGAACACACACACGCACACATTCACAGAAGGAGAACGGATGCTCTCTTAAATAGGCACACAGCGCACATGCAAGAGCTAGAGGAAAGCACTGCAGCACACAGGCAGGCCAGACGGCGATAAGAGAGGGCACCGGGCTCGGGCGTTAAGTGGGCCGGTTTCAGTCCAGAGCAGGGTGGCTAGCGAGGTACCTTGGACTCTGACCCTGGTTGTCCGGATTGGTTGGGGTCGGGAGACGGGGGTTGGGCTAGCTCAGGGGCAGGTGGGAAGAGAGAGCCTGCCTCTGGGCTGAAATCCCCCTGAGTGAGGGTGACCGGGAGATCCTTGGCACTCAGGGCCCCTACATTTACATGAACAGCAGGGGGCGCTGTCTCTGCCAGCGGCTCAGGCTGCATGGGAAGAGCAGCCTCTGCTTTCTGTGAAGGTGTTCAAAAATGTTTAATACATGTGGTCAAACCTCACCACTGCACTTCAGCTGAGCTTCATGATTCTCTTCTGTCTCACCTGACACCAGTACTTTTCTATTAAGGGAATGCTCCAGGTTCACGATGTTAAGCTCTATTGACAGCATTTGGGAAATAATGCCAAATGAAAATAAACATGCACAGTAGTGCAATTTCAGAAAATTCTGGAGGTTTTATTCTGTATTACGAAGTACATCCGAGTGAAACTGATTATCAATAAGAAAAAATGTAGTCAGAAAGTGGTGGGGTTTTAAAGGACTAAACGATTAAAATGATTATCACATGAGAGAAGTCTGAAGTTTCACCAGAAGATTAAGTTATCACAAAAGATTTACAATAAGATCAATAACAAGCATTTAGAAAACAATTGACATTTCATTTAATTGAATGCCCTTTCATTAGTAACAATAAATAAATAAATCAAATATAAAAAATATAATTTAATATTTTTAATTTAAAAAGTTCAATAAAATACATTGGTAATTAATAGTTTTGCATTTAATTGGCTTTTATATATTTTTATATATGGCTTATATTCATTATTGGCTGTTATTAAATATTTAATTGTGCATGCACATTTCTCCCATTTTTACATTTAGATTTTGCTGTTATCTAATAACAGCCTATCTAAAACATTTACTACCTCTGTTAAACGTAATCTTTAGCAAATCTTAAAATACATTTTCTTTTTTTTTGTACTGTATATTATGTCGTGATACCAAAATTAGATTTGGATGTTTTAAATTTAGACAAACTGAATGAATTGCAATGTCCATCCAATGTTCCTAATGTTCCCATTCAATATTTACCTATAATAACAATCAGTGCATCTCTAGCGGCTATACTTTTCAAAAATGTTAAGTCTTCCCACTTTTTTAAGTGCTTTAACTGCAATATTATACCACAAATGCTGTTCACTGAGCTTAACTTGTATTGAACTAGGAACATCTTACTAAAATGCAGAATAGGTTGACTCTGGGAACCATGTCATATAATAACTTGCAGCTGGACAAGGTTCTGTTTTCACGTTAAGTCTGATGTCAGTTTAATTCTACAGTACAGTACAACGTTTTGGCTCTCTTGTAATACAAGATCTAAGACACTTTGGATATCATAGTGGCCACTGGACCCATATAGATAAATACATTCACAGTAATATTATATTTAACACTGTAAATCCATCATGCACATAATACTTTCTGGTAATGACATCATTTTGCATGACAGCAAGGGGACAGCTAGACCACAAGGATGGGGCAAACATTTCACATACTTAAAGATACAATGTCCTCACTTCCATCTCCACTGTGATCGTACTGAGATAAGAGTCACAGCATCTATGTGAAGTATAACAGCCAAGCCATATTTGTCACATACACACACACACAGACTTCCACACAAATACACGCTCACAAATACATATAATAAATACGTGGCAACAATTATTACTTGGTCATTGTCACTTCTCTAGTACTGCAATGATACGGTTTAAAGCACTCCTCCTTCAACAGCGCCGCTAGAACACTTTTCTCAAGCACACCACGGCCTCCAGACAACAGGGAAGGTGAACGGCTCGCAGAAACGCTACCTGCTGAGGTGCAGGGGCCTTGAACCCTGCGGGGTCGATGCGGTTCAGCGGTTCGGGCTGGTACCCTCCATATCCAGGGGGTTCCTGGATGACGGGCGGGTCCTCCCGGACAGGCTCTGAGGAGCGAGTGATGGCGGGTTTGCTGGGCGGTCCAACCTCGTCGTTCAGGGTCTCGTCTAGTTCCTGGTCCGTGTAGGCTCCGCCCTCTGTGTCAGTGTCCTCGTAGTCTGAGGTGTGACGGCTGTCCGTGCTGTACATACTGTACTCGCTACCAGGGGCAGATACATAGGACAGACGGTCATCGTGAAGATCCAGATCATTGTCAGGTGCGCCCTCCGCCTGCAGAGATCGAGAGCACATGATCCAAAGAATTCAATGAGAGCGAGAGGAAGAGGAGAGAACAACATGTAGAGAGAGATGAGAGGGTGCACAATTAGTGGAAGGTAAAAGAGAGAGATGACTTTGGATAATCTCACAAAATTATATTTTGCATGAAAAATAAAGCCTACATTTCAGATTTTTCCACATTTCAACATTATATTCAGGATAACCTAAATTTACTTCAAATATTTTTACCATCAATTATTTATGTTCTATTTATATTGTTTTCATGTATGATTCTTTCATGATACTATTGTAATTTCTTACAATATTGGTAAAACTATACTGCTTTAAAATTATTTAAAGAATATGAAAGACAGATCTCCAAATACTTTAATGATTTATAAGTACAATTTAAATCACACCCTTTTTCTACATTACCATAAGAAAATGAGACAGTGTTAATATAGTATTTATATACCATCATAATACTTATATTTTAGTTAGCTTTTATATTTTCAGTTTATATTTTAAGTTTAAAGTTTTTAAAATTCTATTTAGCTTTTCAGTTTTAGCTTCAATCATTTTAGTATTTTTTTTTCCATCAAATATTTTTATTTCAAAACAAAGCATTAAATCATTATTTCAATTAAGGCATTATTATAAAAGCATTATTTCCATTAAAGGGGTCATATGATGCGATTAAAATTTTTCCTTTCTCTTTGGAGTGTAACAAGCTCTTGGTGCATAAAGAAGATCTGTAAAGTTGCAAAGACTAAAGTCTCAAAACCAAAGAGATATTCTTTATAAAAGTTAAGAGTTAACCACGCCTACCTAAAACGGCTCGTTCTAACACGCCCCCACATATCTACGTCACGATGTGGGAAGATTTGCATAACGCCACCCAAATGTTCACGCAAAGAAAGAAGTTGTAACTTTTATTCTCACTGTAGTATTGTTGACGCTGCAGCCATGTCGTGAAGACGCTGTGTGCTTCGTTGTGAAAGCGAAACTACTTTGTTTGGTCTTCCAAAAGAGGACGATATCCGCTTCGTCATGCCTGGAGCTGATCCATGCTGGTCGCTGAGGAAATACATCAACTTTCACCATGGACAAAGCGGAGTCCAGCCCGCCTCAGCTCACTCTATCCCGGCCTCAGCGCACGCTAAACCGGGGCTTCCCCTCATGCTAGGCCGAGCATAAACACATTTCATTACACCAAATACACAAAATAATGTTCTTTTTAGCAGCATCATATGACCCCTTTAATGGAAACCATTTTTAATAGCTTTAGTTAACAGTAACATCACTGTTATAAAAAATGAGTATCTCTTTTATTTTTTGCTTAACACTATTAAGAATGTGAGAAGTTTTTTGTTTTTTCTCATTATGACATTAAGAATTGAGGGGGTATGCTTCACTGTTGTGAAAATCATTTCGCAAACAGCATCAACACTTAATTTTTAGAGTGAAATATATCAGGTTCTGGTAAATATTTCATGAGTTTAACCTCATTATGGTGAAGCATCACAAAAACAAACCTCAGTCCACTGGGAGGAAGAGAGGAAGAACAGATGTTGATCAAATGAACCATGCAGTGGTCAACATGAATGTTGTGACCACAAGAACAGATGCATGGGAAACAAACTATGCTCTGTAAATATAAACATGGAACCAAGAAACCAAACAACCACGAATGAACCCTGTCCCTGAAACCTCAAGCATCCGCTGTGGAAAAGTTTGATGAAACTCACCTTGCCCTCTGAGACCCACACCAGCTGGTTCTGTTGCTGCTGAATGGCATCAATGTGGTGCAATGCATATTCATTTACTACAGATATCCAAATATGAATATTCATTATATCAAATGAAAGGTGGAGCATCATCTGTACACCACAGTGACTAAGAGGGGGCCAGGAATATCTAAAGAACATTTAACATTAAAGAGTGCAACCAGAAGAGGGTAAAGCTAGTGTGCTTTGACCTTTAGGGGTCATTGATGGCCCCTGACATCAATACATTATTGGGATAGCTCACCCAAAAATTTCTATTCTAGCATCATTTATTTTTTCTTATATTGTTCCAATCAAAAAGAAAATCTCTCTCTTTCTCTCTAAAATCTCTCTAAAGTCAATGGGGTCCAATGGTGAGTAATTGATGATGATAGAATGTTCATTTTTGGGTGAACCATTCCTGTAAGACAGCAAGCCTGCATCTGTATCCTTTACTATATCAAGGTTCTAAAATAGCAGCAACTACAGGAAGTCTTTTCAGCAAAAACGAAACATTCATTTACTACAGATATCCAAATATGAATATTCATTATATCAAATGAAAGGTGGAGGAGCATCTGTACACCACAGTGACTAAGAGGGGGCCAGGAATATCTAAAGAACATTTAATATTGAAGAGTGCAACCAGAAGAGGGTAAAGCTAGTGTGCTTTGACCTTTAGGGGTCATTGATGGCCCCTGACATCAATACATTATTGGGATAGCTCACCCAAAAATTTCTATTCTAGCATCATTTATTTTTTTTTATATTGTTCCAATCAAAAAGAAAATCTCTCTCTTTCTCTCTAAAATCTCTCTAAAGTCAATGGGGTCCAATGGTGAGTAATTGATGATGATAGAATGTTTATTTTTGGGTGAACCATTCCTGTAAGACAGCAAGCCTGCATCTGTATCCTTTACTATATCAAGGTTCTAAAATAGCAGCAACTACAGGAAGTCTTTTCAGCAAAAACGAAACAAAAAAGCCCAAAGAATCACAAAATAACACAGGAAGCAGGTGCTTGGGATGGGGTAAATCAATGAGCAATGTGCCTTCATCTCCTCTCAAGCATGACTGAAGGGTTGGGAGGTTGGAGCTGTCGATAGCATGAACACATCTTGGATTTTTTTCATCATTAACATTCCAAGCGATGTCGATTTGGTGTAACTAAAATAAGGGATGCCATAATAATGCACAGCCTCTAGTAACTATGGTTACTGATGAAGTGAGCTGATGTGACTACTGTATGCAACGTACTTTCCCTTCCATCTGGGTGCTGTGTCTCTGAAAAGCAAATACAGTCATACAGGAACAATGTTATGTAAATAAAGCCAGTGGCCACTCATGTAATCAGTTTACAAGCTGAATTTTAAATGCACTACTGAAACTGGAGAGCAGGACAGCTCAAGTGTGACTGTTCAAGTATGCTGCACAGGTAGGTGGATTAGAAAATTGAAGCGCTGAGTCTTATCAAGGCATGCGTGTTAACAAATGGACACTCACTTGCAAGCTCAAACATGTCAGGCACCTCTCTCGCCAGTTTATCTCGTGCCACATCTGCAATCGGCCCGAAGATCACAACAGGTCTCAGGAACCCAGCTGCAATGAGAAAGACAGCTTTGTTATAGTTTAAACAAAACTGAAATATAGCTATTATCAGATTACTGAATGACCGATATTTAAGTTCTAGGTTACAGTTTATTTTAAGGTGTCCTCATTCCAGTGTAATTACACATTTAAGTACTGAGTAATATTAATTAATGAGTTCATACAGGAACAATGTTATGTAAATAAAGCCAGTGGCCACTCATGTAATCAGTTTACAAGCTGAATTTTAAATGCACTACTGAAACTGGAGAGCAGGACAGCTCAAGTGTGACTGTTCAAGTATGCTGCACAGGTAGGTGGATTAGAAAATTGAAGCACTGAGTCTTATCAAGGCATGCGTGTTAACAAATGGACACTCACTTGCAAGCTCAAACATGTCAGGCACCTCTCTCGCCAGTTTATCTCGTGCCACATCTGCAATCGGCCCGAAGATCACAACAGGTCTCAGGAACCCAGCTGCAATGAGAAAAAGACAGCTTTGTTATAGTTTAAACAAAACTGAAATATAGCTATTATCAGATTACTGAATGACCGATATTTAAGTTCTAGGTTACAGTTTATTTTAAGGTGTCCTCATTCCAGTGTAATTACACATTTAAGTACTGAGTAATATTAATTAATGAGTAATACATGGACTTACTATATGGTTAGGGTTTGGCTTAGGGTTACTTGCATGTAATTATGCATAATTTATTGTTATTATAATACACGTGTAACAAGGACACCTTAAAATATAGTGTTACCAAGTTCTATGCTGTCTAAATAAATTAAAAATAAAATTAATTTAAATGCATTTTAAAAATAATTGAATTTAGATTTAAAAATATTATTATATACAGCATGAAAAAATGTATATTCTTTTTGAAATTTGTGTTATTAAATTATTAGTGTTTTAAATGTTAATTCAAGTGACCATTAGATAGAGGAAAACGTCATTTAAATTTAAAAAAGGGGGAAATTAGCATAAATAATCAAATTTATAAATATCAATCAATATGCATCCAATATTGATACTGATAAATGATAAAATAGTAATAATAAATTATATTCTCTAATATCGCCTAATAACTGATATATTGTGCATCCTTCTCTAAAATACATACATACCTTCTCTAAGAACCACCCTCTCATACGCAGGGAACTTAGTCTGAACAGGCTGAGCTGACACATCTTCTCTGCTCTTCCGCAGGTTCCTCTTTGAACTGCGCAGACCTCTGAACCTCCAGAAGTCAGCTCGGTCACCGCCTGTAGTTTTGGGGAGTGTATACTGTACGCTTGATAACTGCTCCGCCCTGGCGAGAAGATGGCAGAACAAGCTTTAGTTAAAAATATATTTAATTTTCATTCTCTCTAGGATTATAGACCTGCATAGAGATAGCCATGCAATACAGAAGATTTAAAAAAAAAAAAGAACTTTATAGTAATCTATATATGATCTACTAATCTGTATACTTTGAATATAATGTCTACAGCAGGTGTTTGTGTACTGCTGGTGCTTGACTGAGTGATTACCTGTTCTTGTTGGGAATGATGCCTCTTTCCACCTCCTGGTGGTTCTTCCCAATGCGGATGGCCAGCCAGGAGCCCAGTTTGCCGTTGTAGAGGGTGTCTACCACTCTGAACACCTCTCCCTTATTAAAGCTCAGCCCATATGGAGACTCTTTCTCATACTCAAAGTGTGTTCTGATGTAGAAGGAGTCGCCCACATCAGACTCCACTATCCGCCGATACACTAGAGGACATGGCATAAATTAGATGGTCAACAGGAAGAGATGAGGAATAGCTTTATAATAGCATTTTTCTTAGAATGACTGAATTTTACTTAACTAAACATCAGGGCAAGTTATATAAGAAAGGGATAACATAGTCAGGTGGAGATTATTAAAATAAAGCCAGACAAGATGATCGTGCCCCCAATGTGAAGCAGAAGGGTCTTATATCACCCTTAATAACTGGCGGATAGCACATTATCCCACTTATTATAGAAGTACTTACCAAACAAATAAAGAAATGGACATAAAATGTTGATTCAAATTTTACTATGTGAGAAGAACAAGGCGACAGAGTGATATAAGAAACATTATATACTTGTGCAGCTACGTGAGAAACATATATAATATATATATATTTGATTGCAGAAAACATTTGACCAATGAACGCTGCGAGTGACCAATAAGAGTTAAATATTCTAGACCAGTGGTTCTATATACCAGGGGGCTGGAGCCCACTAAGGGGCCTCAGCAAAATTCCAAGAGGCTTAATAAAGCATTGGAAGTACTGGAGATACACATTAGATTAGATAGGAGGGCTTTCAAATATTTTCTTTGATAAGAGGGTGGGGATCTTGGAGTCAAAAAGAACCATGTAATAAGTAAACAGACAAACATGACCGATACGTGAAAAGCGTATGCATCTGCTCACCATCTTTCTTCCTCTGAGCCAGGATGGTGACCTCTTCACCTCTGGGCAGATCGAGCAGGAACAGCACTGCTTCCTCACGAATGATGTTTGCAAAGTCAACATTGTTAACCTATGAACAGGAGGGAGTGCAAGAAGAAAACAGGCTTTAGATCTCAGCGGTGCAATATTCTAACAATACACTGTTTATTGACAGTGCAAAGAGAAATAAAGAGAAGCAGAGAGAGAGAAAATCCACCTTTTCTGCTTCTCCTTTATCTTAAAGTCACAATCTAGAGTAGAGGTGAACATGCAGTCACCTCTGACAAAATGGAAAGGGAAAAACAATGAGCTGGGAGTCTCTCTGTGGGGCAGGGCCTGGAATCTAAGGAGTGTGTGCTTGTGCAGCAGGGATGGGAACTTCCATACACGCGTGTGTACAGTACGCACACTGCTCTAGAACTTGTGTAGGAGAGAAACAAAACTATCCATGTTTCATTAAAATGTGCTCAGTGGTAAACAACTCTAAATGAGCCTAACTTAGAGTCTCTGTATTACACACAGCAACTGACAATAGCATAAGACCACTGGAGGCTTGAGTTAAACAATGAACGCCATTGTGTGGCCGAAGGCTAAACAAAGGAAAGCTGGAAAAAGAGGCGAGACAGGCACTGAGTCAGAGCAGGAGTGTGTCATGATTATTTTTGCCCACAGCCTTCATATTTTTCTGAGAAAACGTGAGATGTTACACAGTGTTACAGCATGGAGATTAGTCAACAGCAGATGTTCAGTAGAATAAAAAAAACAAACAAAAAAACACATGCTTTCTTAAGATTTTTTTGATATGATTAAGCATGCTACTGTATCTGCTGCACATGTGATGTTTTCACACAATGAATGTCAATGATTTCAAAGTGTAGATTTAAAGGCAACAAATAGAACTGAAAGAATGACAAACTGAAAAGTTTGGCTCCAAATTGTTTGACATTTGATTATATATTGTAAAATAAAATAAAAAAAAATAAAATTTTGTAATGTTAGCTAAATTAATTTACTTATGACATTTTGTAATTTTTAACAAAATGATACAGATTTCAGCTTTAACTAGGCAAAACTAGGAGGACACGATATTGATCCTTAAAGGGATAGTTCACCCAAAAATGAAAATTCTGTCATTAATTACTCACCCTCATGTCGTTCCAAACCTGTAAGACCTTCGCTTATCTTTATAACACAAATTAAGATATTTTTGATGAAATCCGAGAGCTTTCTGACTCTCCATAGACAGCAGCACAACTGAAACTTTCAAGGCCCAGAAAGGTAGTAAGGACATCATTAAAATAGTCCATGTGACATCAGTTGTTCAACCTTAATGTTATGAAGCTACAGGAATATTTTTTGTGTGCAAAGAAAACAAAAATAACTTTATTTAGCAATTTCTTCTCTTTCATGTCAGTCGACATGTTGTCACGAGAGTACCACGTGTGTGCGTGTGACGCTGCTGACGCAGGAGCCGGTTTTCAGACGTAACCTGGATGTGCTACACCTTGTTTAGCTGTGCATTTATTGAATGAGCACTGTGCTATGTCCGAACTTATTGCACTGTATTTTATGTATAATCGTTTTCTATTTTTAACTGTTTTAAATTAATTTTAAATCAATTTCTAAATCATTTTAAAAGTTTTTAAGTTCCCTGTTTTACTGTTGTGATTTTTAATGATTATTTTACTTCCTTTTATGTAAAGCACTTTGAATTACCATTGTGTATGAAATGTGCTATATAAATAAACTGCACGAGCATCGAAGACTGACACGGAAGATAAGAAATTGTTGAATAAAGTCATTATTTTTGTTTTCTTTATGCACAAAAAGTATTGTTGTAGCTTCATAAAATTACGGTTGAACTACTGATGTCACTTGGACTATTTTATCGATGTCCTTACTACCTTTCTGGGCCTTGAATGTGTCAGTTGCGTTGCTGTTTATGCAGGGTCAGAAAGCTCTCAGATTTAATCAAAAATATCCGTGTTCCGAAGATGAATGAAGGTCTTACAGGTCTTAAAATTAATGCTAGTTCCATATCAAGACCTCACTTTTAAAGCCTTTAAAGATGTTACTTGTATCTAGTGGTGAATGTAAAAGACGGTCCTCACCCTGAGTATCTGGTCTCCCTCCTCCAGGCCTTCCTTAGCAGCAGGACTGTCTTCCAGCACACCAGCAACAAAGATCCCCACATCATTTCCTCCTGCCAGCCTCAATCCCACACTTTCGCCTTTCTTAAACTTCACCAGCTTCATACTAGGCCTGGTAACAAAGAATAAAACTGGCTTAGTTTTTAATTATCTGTACCCATGCATCTGCACAATAATACAGAAAGTTTACTTTGCTAGTAAATTCAAGTCACTAGAAAAGGCACTTGGGAGCACGATGCGAGTACAGAATATAAAACAACACTGACCGGAGGATGCTGTCATCATGAGTGACATTGGGCACAGGGGCATCAGAGGGGCTGACTGGCAGATCAACATCAGGTTGCCCAGGTTGTGCATACACTGGTTTTGGCTCTAAACACACATTTCGGTTAGACTGTGACCATGATGTAATAAACATATTTCTTTTAAGAACAAGCTCTTAAGAGGTGATAAATCAGCCCAAAAAGAACATGCAGAAATAAACCAAAGCTAGGTCAGATTAAGGCATTCCAGAACATAATGGAGTAAACAGCAGCACGGTACAGAGAGAAAACTAAAGGTCTGATTTTGATCAGTGGAAAGGTGGGAGTAGGAGTAGGAACAAGATGGGCGTTTTCTCCAAGGAGGAAGAACATTGGGCTTACACGCTGTTTGATATACACACAAATATTATATAAATCACATTATTTTGCCTTGCTGTAAAATATAGTTGAACAGTCACATTAAAGAGAGCTGTGAATTGGCTTACTACTCTGCCAAAGCAGTAATATCTGACTTTCGCTTTTGATACTAAATTCAAAAAGTCAGTGGAAATTGATGGACATTCCAAAATTTGCGTTTGTAGTACTATATATAAAAGAGACAAAATTTGTGTCTATTACTGTTGCTATTATTTTATTGGAAGTAGGGATGTTAATTTCAGTTATTTCTCCTAACCGACAACCAACGCTCGTTAACCGATTATTAACCGTTAACCGACAAGATTATTTTAAATTTGAACTGAATTAAATTAGAAAGGCTAAGTGTCTGTGACCCGTTAAAAATACTAACATTTGCCTATATGAGAAATATATTTTTACTTAATAAATTAAGAAAACAAAAGTAAAACTGTGCAACAAGTAGCCTAGTATGCAGAGTTTTGGTTCATTTTTGTGCTGTGCGAAAGGAAACCAAGATGACAGAAAGCGGCATCCTATTTTTCTTTAGGCCTATTTTACAAAAGCACAAAGATTTGTTTTTATTGTGACTATACACAAATAAAAGCACACCTTTTACAATTATGATTATCTTTATGACTAAAAGAAGTAGTTGCTTCTAGGGCTGGGTTTTTTACAAAAAAAAATTAATATATATATTTCACTTACCGCCCAATGTTGTCCAACAAAACAATACATATTAAAGGCTATGAAAACAGATAAAGTGAATGTAACCATGTAAGCCTTTATATTATGTGCAAAAAAGGGTTAAAATCACATTTCATTCTAACATTGTAACATTGCAATCTAAAAACAAAAATAAGCACAAAAGCACACACAGAGTTGTGTTAGGCTATTGTGTTAAGCTTGTCACGTTTAAAAAAAATTGGATTATGCACTTTCTCCGCAGCAGCTCAGTCTGTGTCCTCCGCTATATTTTCAGATGCTATCGCATCAAACTACTGTGTATCGATATAAACGGTATTGCCTCATATCAAATCTCTTATAAAGAAAATATTGATATATCATACAAATTCGATATACTGCCCTAGTTGCTTCCACTGTTAGAAGGAAAAAATTCAAGAGCCGCATGCGCACACACAGTTAAGCATTGCTTCCTTGACAATGCAGCCTGTTTATTATCATAATAAAATATAGTAAGTCAAACATACGGGGAAAAAAACACTGGTCAGTTTAAATGTAGTAAAATCTGTGCCGTTAAGCGTTATCACCGTACCGCCTTGATGTTATGCCAAACATATTTTGTTTTACGTGGATATTGGAACGCGAGTGAAGTAGCCAACAAAACCAGGTTTACATAATAAATTAAATTTTGGCATTCAAATACATCGCGAATACGGAAACATTTGATTTTGTGTCGAATGAGAGACCCAATGTTGGTTTCAGTTTCGTTTTAGCCTAAATGAATTCCTTTTGGCTTGTCGTTTACATAGCTATAGCTTCTTATATTTTTCACTCTTGTTCTTTTTCGAATACTAAATTCAAAGGATTTGCTGTGGAGTGAGGGAAACTAAAATAGTCTAGCCTAGCTATGTTTACAATGTTTATTATAATGTTTGTAAACATTTAGCATCAGCATTAGGCCTATTTCTGAATGAAATAATAAAATGCGACTTATACATGACTTATGTTTTTTTTCTCTAAAAAACACAACTTTATTTTATACGCATAGCGTATTTGAACCATGCAGCAAACCTTTTAAAATATTTTGAGAAATTACTGGGAAAAAATTAATAAATTACTTTTTTAACCGTTTAACAGATTGTATTAATCAGTCAAAATTCTTACGGTCGGTTAACGGTTAACTGGTTAAAATGAGCATTCCTAACTAGAAGTAGTCTAAAAATGTTTAGAAACATGAGAACTTGACTTAAATTGTTAACTTAAACATGCAACAATACTGTAGCATTGGTTGCTTGATCAATGTGTTAGATAAATTTAATAATCATCACATGGAAATGAAACGTGAATTTACATTGGACTAAAAAAATACAAAAATAAAAACTATAAAACAACAAGGTGACATTGCCACACCATATAAAAAGTTGCCACACGCCACTGGACTGGGGAGATAAGACAAAAGGAGAGCAGAAGTAAAGACAGAAGAAATTCTGGAGGTGAAAGTCCCAACCTGGCAGTGGAGGGATCTGTTTGTCCCCGGGCTGTTCTGTTGGCGGAACCAGAAGGGCATCTTCCGTCATCTTAACTGGAGTGGATAACGCCGCTGGTTTGGAGATGCGCTCCTCCTCGCGACTCCTGTGGCTACAGAAACACAAAGCTCACAGTTACAAACTGAGCCTGGTTTTGTCTCTGCTTATAAGTAGTTGGCAAATAACATGGACATTAACTTTATTTTACAAAATCAAGATTTTAGGCTACATTGTATAAGGCAAATAATATTTTTATGTGTGTATTAAATGACCACTTATTTGTAATCACCTTGCTACATGCATAAAAAAATTAAATAAATAAAAAATACTAAAAAACACTATCAAACACATGAATATTATGAAATAATGAGAGGTGCCTTTACAAGCAGACACCATGATGCAAGCAAAAATTCCTGTTGAAGTTACTAAAGACCTCAAAAACACTGGTGGCATTTCACAAACTGTAGATAAGATTAAGATATCAGCACATATACAAGTTTCTGAGAACAAGTCAGACATTATATTTGTTCCATTTTAATATGAGAGCATCCTGAAGGAAGAGTGTGTAAAAAAAAAATGCACAAAACAGAAGGATCATGAACACAACAATACTTGAAAACAGCACAGCTAAAGATTGCTCATTAGACAGCACCAGATGCCAGTGCTTTATGTCAGACCGTTTAATTTTTCTCTTGCTAAAAATTAGGACAGATATTAGAGCAGTGATGGGCAAACTTTCCTGCAGAGATTTGATCCAACCCTGATAAAACTCACCTGCCTGTAGCCTTCTAGTAGTCTTGAAGACAATGATTAGCTGGTTCAGATGCGTTTGATTAGGGTTGGAGCTAAACTCTGAAGGAAAGTGGCCGGGAAGGGCCAAGTTTGCCCACCCCTGTATTAGAGCTTCTTTTAAAACGGATATGTAAAATTCTTTGAGGCATCACAACTTCTCTCTGTTGCACATTCTAATTTCTGGATGTGTACAGACACAGAAAGCTGAATAAGTGTATGATGACTTTAGGATCAGGACTGCACTCTTATAATTATGGGTAGATTTTAGAGTCACGTGGCTGGTACAATATGGCTCAGACAGGAAACAGACCACACCTGAAATGTTCATTTTTCTCTTCAATGAACAATTAGCATTGCTGTGCTAGCTGAATCAGTAAAAACAAACAGATTTCTGCCGAGAAATTAAATGCTTATCTGTCAGAACAAAAAAAAGAGACCTTGTCCTTGTTGCCTAGCAGTGTACTTCATCTTAAATCTCTTATGCCCTGGACATAGGGATGGGTACCGAAACCCGGTATTTAATCGGTCCCGGGGCTAAATTATTAAAGACCGGCGTATCGATAAGCTCTGACGTTAACGGTTCTGCTATCGGTACTGAAGAAATTAATAAAACACACATACATTTATTATTGCTATATATACAATATCTTGCAAATTCTCTCTCACCAGAGTCACCAGCTGTTTTTCAAACATTTGTTGGCAAATAACATGGACATTAACTTTATTTTACAAAATCAAGATTTTAGGCTACATTGTATAAGGCAAATAATATTTTTATGTGTGTATTAAATGACCACTTATTTGTAATCACCTTGCTACATGCATAAAAAAATTAAATAAATAAAAAATACTAAAAAACACTATCAAACACATGAATATTATGAAATAATGAGAGGTGCCTTTACAAGCAGACACCATGATGCAAGCAAAAATTCCTGTTGAAGTTACTAAAGACCTCAAAAACACTGGTGGCATTTCACAAACTGTAGATAAGATTAAGATATCAGCACATATACAAGTTTCTGAGAACAAGTCAGACATTATATTTGTTCCATTTTAATATGAGAGCATCCTGAAGGAAGAGTGTGTAAAAAAAAAATGCACAAAACAGAAGGATCATGAACACAACAATACTTGAAAACAGCACAGCTAAAGATTGCTCATTAGACAGCACCAGATGCCAGTGCTTTATGTCAGACCGTTTAATTTTTCTCTTGCTAAAAATTAGGACAGATATTAGAGCAGTGATGGGCAAACTTTCCTGCAGAGATTTGATCCAACCCTGATAAAACTCACCTGCCTGTAGCCTTCTAGTAGTCTTGAAGACAATGATTAGCTGGTTCAGATGCGTTTGATTAGGGTTGGAGCTAAACTCTGAAGGAAAGTGGCCGGGAAGGGCCAAGTTTGCCCACCCCTGTATTAGAGCTTCTTTTAAAACGGATATGTAAAATTCTTTGAGGCATCACAACTTCTCTCTGTTGCACATTCTAATTTCTGGATGTGTACAGACACAGAAAGCTGAATAAGTGTATGATGACTTTAGGATCAGGACTGCACTCTTATAATTATGGGTAGATTTTAGAGTCACGTGGCTGGTACAATATGGCTCAGACAGGAAACAGACCACACCTGAAATGTTCATTTTTCTCTTCAATGAACAATTAGCATTGCTGTGCTAGCTGAATCAGTAAAAACAAACAGATTTCTGCCGAGAAATTAAATGCTTATCTGTCAGAACAAAAAAAAGAGACCTTGTCCTTGTTGCCTAGCAGTGTACTTCATCTTAAATCTCTTATGCCCTGGACATAGGGATGGGTACCGAAACACGAAAGATGATCTTTTTTGTTAATATCGCACACTCCTAGACCGGAGTATAGATAAGCTCTGACGTTAATGGTTCTGCTATCGGTACTGGAGAAATTAATAAAACACACATACATTTATTATTGCTATATATACAATATCTTGCAAATTCTATCTCACCAGAGTCACCAGCTGTTTTTCAAACATTTGTCTATGATGCATTTTTGCTATTTGCAATTCAGAAGCGAGATCGCGCCCACGCGGAGGAGCTTCAGCACGCGCAACATGAAAGCTTAATTATGATAGAAGAGAGAACTAAACATTCACACATCTGCTTACATTTTAGGCCTGTGGCTGTTTATTAAGCTAATTTTATTTTATTTTTTATTTTGGCTTCTAAGGATTATACAAAAGAAGACATGAGGTAAAGCTATTAAAAACTAGCTGCGTTTTGTATTGCGCAACTTCTTTCCCTTCACAGCGGTGCACACAAAAATGTCAAAATGGCCGGCTTGACACAAAATGACAGTTTATGTCTTAAGTGGAGGAGAACAGTTGGGAGAAAATCTGATGTGTGACAATATATTGTCTTCAAAATGCAAATCTGCTCTTAATCTGAATAACGTTGTAGCTTTAATAAGCATTAATCTATCAATACATACAATGAAAACTATGCAGTGTTCATTTACATTTGATTACTTTTAGATTTCTTTTGTAGGCTATTACTTACCTGTAATGTTACTTACCTGTTAGTAGAACTTCATGGAAGAATGACAGCACTGTTTATTTCATTTCATTTGTATATTTGT